AAGATGATGCTGTGAAAGTGCTGCACTCAATATGCCAGCAAATTTGGAAAACTCAGCAGTGGCCACAGGACTGGAAAAGTTCAGTTTTCATTCCAATTGCAAAGAAAGGCAATCCCAAAGAATGCGCGAAGTACCACACAATTGCACTCATCTCACATGCTAGTAAAGTAATGCTCAAAATTCTCCAAGCCAGGCTTCAGCAATATGTGAACCATGAACTTCCAGATGTTCAAGCTGGTTTTAGGAAAAGCAGAGGAACCAGAGATCAAATTGCCAACATCCACTGGATCATCAAAAAAGCAAGAGAGTTTCAGAAAAACATCTATTTCTGCTTTACTGAATATGCCAAAACCACTGACTATGTGGATCACAATAAACTGTGGAAAATTCTCAAAGAGATGGGAATACCAGACCACCTGACCTGTCTCTTGAGAAACCTGTATGCAGGTCAGGAAGCAACAGTTGGAACTGGACATGGAACCACAGACTGGTTCCAAATAGGAAAAGGAGTACGTCAAGGCTGTATATTGTCACCCTGCTTATTTTACTTATATTCAGAGTACACCATGAGAAATGCTGGGTTTGACGAAGCACAAGTTGGAATCAAGATTGCCAGGAGAAATATCAATAATCTCAGATATGCAGATGACATCACCCTTATGGCAGAAAGTGAAGAGGCACTAGAAAGCCTCTTGATGAAAATGAAGGAGGAGAGTGAAAAAGTGGTTAAAGCTCAACATTCAGAAAACTAGGATCATGGCATCTGGTCCCATCACCTCATGGGAAATAGATGGGGAAACTGTGGACCCAGTATCAGACTTTATTTTGGGGGGCTCCCAAATCCCTGCTGATGGTGATTGCAGCCATGAAATTAAAAGATGCTTACTTCTTGGGAGGAAAGTTATGACCAAACTAGATAGCATATTAAAAAGCAGAGACATCGCTTTGCCAACAAAGGTCTGTCTAGTCAAGGATATGGTTTTTCCAGTGGTCATATATGGATGTGAGAGTTGGACTGTGAAGAAAGCTGAGCTATGAAAAGTTGATGCTTTTGAACTGTGATGTTGGAGAAGAGTCTTGAGAGTCCCTTGGGCTGCAAGGAGATCCAACCAGTCCATCCTAAAGGGGATCAGTCCTGGGTGTTCATTGGAAGGACTGATGCTGAAGCTGAAATTCCAATACTTTGGCCACCTCATGTGAAGGGTTTACTCATTGGAAAAGACCCTGATGCTGGGAAAGATTGGGGACTGGAGGAGAAGGGGACGACAGATGATGAGATGGTTGGATGGCATCACTGATTCAATGCACATGCGTTTGGATAGACTCTGGGAGTTGCTGATGGACAGGCAGTCCTGGCTTGCTGTGATTCATGGGGTTGCAAAGAATCAGACACGACTGAGTGACTGAACTGTACTAATGTCAACTTGCTGGTGGGAGAGGCTGGTCCTGAAGCTAGAGCAGGCTTGCTGGTATGTGTGACCAGGGCCTAGGGAATCCTGGGTTGGGGCCTGCCATGAAGGTCTCTGGTTGCTAGGTCTCAGACCTCATCCCTGTGCCTGTGTGTGGAGCCATGTCCTTTGGTGGGCAGAGATGTGTCCAGGGGTAGCTTTAGTCTCAGAGAGTCTTGTGATGGCCTGTCCACTGCTGGGTGAGGCTGTGCCCCTGACACTTAGTTGGTTGGCCTGAGGCACCCCAATACTGGTGCCTCCAGGCTTGTGGGTGAGGATGGGAATGGATGCTGCAGCTAATAAACTATATGTTCTCAGTTCAGTTCAGTCACTCAGTCGTGTCTGACTCTTTGCAACCCCACGGACTGCAGCACGCCAGGCTTCCCTGTCCATCACCAACTCCCGGAGCTTGCTCAAACTCATGTCCATCAAGCCGGTGATGCCATGATTAAATTATATGGAAAATTCCAAAATGGTACCCGTCAGTACTGTGCGCATGTGGTAGAATAAGCTCACAATAATGACTATTGCCCAGGTCTGGGTCCTCCAGGTGAGCTGCAATCACTTCCTGCCTCCCCGAGAGCCTTGCCAAGATCAACTGGTAGGTCTGACTCAGGCTCCTTTCCAGTTACTGCTTCTTCCTTGAGTCCTGGAATGTGTGGGGTTTTGTGTGTGCACTTCAAGTGGAGTATCTATTTCCCTTAGGTAGTCTGAGACTCCCTAAAGTAGACCCTGCTGGCCTTCAAAGCCAAATATTCTGGGATCTCATCTTCTCTGCACAGGAACCTCAGGCTGGGAAGTCTGATATGGGGCTCAGACCCCTTATCCTTGGGGAGAATCTCTGAAGCTGTAATTATTCTCCCATTTGATGGTCACTCACCTTGACTGTAGTGGGACTCTACCCCTCCTTCTTGCCTTGTTTGGCTCCATCTTTATATCTTTAGTTGTAGAGTATCTATCTTTTGTTGTAGAGTATCTATGTTTTCTGGTAGGTTCCTCGTTTTCTCCTCTAGTTGCTCTGTAAATATTTGTGATTTGGGTGTGTGTATAAGAGGAGGTGCTCCCAGGGTCTTTCTGCTCTGCCATGTTGAGAGCGCTACCTCAATGCATTTTTGTAAGTTGATAGAGCTTGTAAGTCACAAAAATAACTATAATATGGGATAGATTTAATGGAGATAATATTATATGAGTTTAATAGTGGAACTGAGCTGGTCTGGTGAAGGCAGGAGTGGTGGAATGATGATAATGGTGGAAATTGGGAACAGCTTAGACTTTTACAAGGATATTAAAGTAACACTTCAAGTTCAGGAGATGTTTCAAGCAGAGAGAGCAGTTTGTATGGAGGTGTTGAGAAAGGAAAAATTGTTCAAGGAACCTAAAGAAGATCAGTGTGACAAAGTATGGAGAAAACAGAGAATGGAGTGGAATGGGACTTCAGAAGCAGGCAAGAGCTAGCTCTCAAATGGCTCTTTAAGTCATGTTACTTGTTCTCGTTAGTAACTGGTTTTAAGTAGTGATTGCCATGATTATATCTAGGCTTGAAAAGGTATCACCATATTTCTCTTTTAAAAATACTTGATAATTCCTTTTAGTCTATCCTACAGTAATTTTTCAAAACTATCTTCTGTATATCCCTACTGGTTAAGAAGAGTTTTGTCATGATTTCCTACTGGCAGTTTATTTACTGTAAAAATGCAGCTTTTCAAAATTTCTTTGAAGAAAAATTAATTGAACACGCATTTTCAAGTTGAAGGGGAGGAGAGTGTTAGATGCTTTACTTCCTGTGGAAACCTCCCTTCCACCACTTGTTGCTTCTCGTGTCAAAGTTAGCAGTTTCCCAGTTTTCCCAAACAGGCTGCAAAGAGGTCAGAAAAGGTGCTTCGGTCATGTTTGTAAACTGAATTACCAGGAACATAGTAGGTGTTAAATGCATTTAAATTAAACTAAAATATACCTAGTCCAATTAAAAATGTTAAAGACTATTTTATAAAAAAAAAAAAAGAAAAAATGTTAAAGACTATTTTCTTACACTTAATGCAGTGAACTATAACATTTCACACAGAGAAATGGAATTTTACCAAGAAGAATTGAGGCATTTGTTCTCTTTTTTATTGCCATAGTAACAATGTACTTCCCAGTGTGTCCTCATAACATTCACCAATTTTCCACCTTTCTGTCTTTAAAAATAGGAAGAAAACACACTGTCCATCTGGAAAGAAAAGAAAATAATGATGATAAAATTAAATATAATTTGAAATAACATATGCAATCATTTTTACTGGGTGCCACCATATTCAAAATAGTAAAAGATGTATTTTATAGTATAATATCATCAGTCTGAAAACTCATGGGAAAATTCATGACATCCCACATGTGTTTACCATTCAACATGATGATTTTGAGGTTTTATGATTATATTTCTGTAAGAAACCATGGTAACTTAGGTAATGGCTTTTTTTGACAATCTCACAAACCTCAGGTTATCTCTAGATGATGAGAATCTTTTATACTATCTTGCCTCACTAATTGTGTCAGACCAATATAGCTGTTGTTTTCTTCAAGACACTTCCACCAAAAAAATTACGTTAATTAATGTTAGCATGTTTTTTGTATCTAATGTGTTATGTGTCTGATTGAAAATCTAATTCTCATTTTAATAACATGCATAACAGCAGAAACAAGTAAATCTAGGATATGTAAGAGATTGATCTGGCACTATATTTAGCAAAGAGAAAAAAATACAAGTGTCCCTTGGAGTAGAAAAGGATAGGAATGAAAGTTTGTTAATTGTGTGTGTATGTATTTATATGTGTTCATACATGTATAGATGTCTATACATATGCATATAAATTAGGTTATTCTTGTATATATATACATAGAATGACAAACATACAAATTAATTGCATAAGCATAAGGGATTAAGCATAACCCTCATAAAACAATTATCCACTTTGCCCATAGGACAGATATTTTCCTATTTCAATGAAGGCAAAAAAAAGTAATTATTATGTTTGCTTATACATTATAATAAAAGGTAACTTCTCTCAATAACTGTCTCAGATTCATTGACTAACTGAAGTCAAAGCAAGGTTTAAGTATATAGCAGAAAGCCCAATGATTATGGAGCCAGGCATAGTGCATTTGGCCTCATGCAAGTTTCCTATCTGTTCCCGTATAAAGTATGGATAATGCTGATATGTGCTACCTTGTAGCATTCGTAGTTACGAGGGTGAATTGAAAAAGTGTTTATATGGAAGTCAGAGGATGCTATTCCTTTCAAAATTAAGATTAAGGAACAAAAGGATTGAGTTATTTGAGAATAAATCATAATCTCCAGTATCCCTGTGGTTTTGATGTGATATCATTTTTAATGTAAATGGAAAAGGAAGTTGTATGCCTGGTCCATGTCAGGTCTGAGATATGAACTCAATTATTTTAATTGCAATGAACAATGGTCTTTTCAAAATGCCACAGCTGACTGAAAATTATATTTGGAAAGATATCCTCCTCAAGAACAATTTTAGGTACATTAAATTAACTTCTATCAGCAAAGATTTTTCCAAGGTAAATGGACATAGGGAGAATATGATGGGAAGTTGTATCAAGAAAATTCTACATTACAAGGACAAAGTCTGGAGGGCAAATATGAATAGGAGTATCAATTATTGGGTTCAATCCCAGGGTCGGGAAGATACCCTGGAAAATAAAACGGCAATCCACTAGGAATAATCCCATGGACAGAGAAGCCTAGTGGGTTACAATTCATGGGGTCACAAAAACTTGGACACAACTGAGTGACTGAACACACAGTCCAAGAACTATACTAGTTTCATCAATGTTGCTCCTCAGTCACTAAGTGCTTATGTATTTAAATATTATATTGCATATAATTAATAAAATTATTGATATTATTAATATTGTCTATAGCAATAAAATTAGTGACAGTGTGTGTGTATATATATATATATATTTATGTGTATATATCTGTTTGCTGATTGAGTTTTGATAAATATTCAGTTAAATCTTCCCAGTGTGTTGTTCTTTATTGATCAAATGACTAGATATCTGCCAAATTTTTGCACCAACCTGGAACCATTAAATATGTTTTTCCTTATCCTTGAAGATCCCTTAGAATAAGCAAAGGAATATATAAAATAATATGTTAATAGTAACATAAGAAAGCATGATATTCAGCTAATATTACTAGCACTAAAGAACTGTTCTGTCTATACATTTAAATTCCCTGTGTATTAACAGTAAGGTAATTGTGAAGGAAATGCACAGGCGCGCACACACATGCACATGCACATGCCCACGGGTAATGATTGACATTCTTACCATCATTTTCAAAAAGATTTTGAGCAGGACATTAGCCCAAAGATAATTTAAAAAAGAACAAATTCCAAAACCATTCGAGAGAGAAATTACCTATGGAGCTGGAGTTGATCTGATATATCCAGCAAAATTGGGTATAGCAACTTGAATAATGATCCGGAAGACCGACAGGGTGATTGATAGACTTCTATAAACCCAGGGGGCTCCTATAGGATTCCTTCGCTCTCTGTCTGGAGTTGCAGCAACTGGCATGGTTCCTTTAATCCGCAGCTGAAGTGTATCAGAATATATGATGAATTAACTTGGATTTTTCTTCCTCTTCTCACTGGCAGTTTTATAAAAATAGGAAAAACATATATTAGACATACACATTCAACAATTTTGTTGTATTTAATAATTATCCATTTCCTCAATGATTTGTTTACTTATTATCTATGACACCTTGTCAGCTTAGTGAGTTTTATTTTGTTCTGCTAAATGAGCAGACACTTAAATAGTTGTTTGTAGCATCTATTAGCCTGTTCTTTACACTTCTCTTTTTCATTCTTGCTTTGAGATTAAATAGTCCTTTTCTCTTACTAGCAACTTGGTTATTCAGAAGTCTTGTGTGGCGTGGGTAGGGGAGCATACTGTGGACTGACTTTGGTGCTCTATGACTTAACAGTTGGATGACTTGGATCAACCTTGGCCAAGCTACCCTTGCTGCAGTTTCTTACTTGTGAAATGATAATAATAATAATAATAAAACCTCACAGGATTGAAATGAAGATAATACTGCAAGCAAATCCCCTAGAACACTGTAAGTACCCAGAAGGGCTAATTCCTTCTGTGTCCATTTTTTCATGAAGGGCTGTGTTCATATTTTCATGACTATGTTTTTATGTTATTTTTCATCTTCATAAGGAGTGGAAAAGAAAGCTTACATTTACACCCTATTTACACATGAAGAAACAGATATTTGCCCAAGTTCACTTAGCTAGAAAGACCTAGAAACAGTAATGTTTAGAGCATAATTTAGTAATCTAGCATTTATAATTTATAGAATTTTAAATTAATAAAAAGGGATAGATGATTTTGGTACTGACTACAATGGCCAAGCACTTAATTTCCATTTTTAAAAATATAATCACCTCCCCTGCACAGTCTTAAAAGGTACATATTTAAGACTAAATTTAGACTCATGAAAGCTAATTAACTAGCCATTGTTCCCTCAGCTGACATGTGGTAAATTTCAGATTAAAATCCAGAAAATAATAACCTTAAAATCTATACTCTTTTATTGTGCCGACTTTCATGCTTGGAGAAACCTTTGGGAAAATTTATGTTAACCTTTTTTCAGAAGAAGTTTGGTTTAAGAAGCAACTTATACCAAGGCAAAGCCAAAAATTGTCTTCTCAAACTTGGTCTCATATATGTTCATTAGGTTTTTTAAACCTTCATTTGACTTATTGTTTTAAACACATTTTCATATTTCAAATATTGTCCTTTGTCTCTCTCAGTCTTCCATTATTTTTGAGTCTACATGTTCTTAGGTCATACTTTATATCAAGAGGAGACAATAGAGTTTTAGCTTTCAGCTGACCTCTAGTGTGGTATTTGGTAACATGTTACTCAGAGTTTTCATCTCTTCAAATGGGTCTATATTGTGAAGAATGCAAGTGAATAATTTTAAAGTATCTGGGAAATATTAGGTGACAAAATGATCATAACTGCTCGTATCTAGCCTTGAGAGAACCACTTACAGTTACTTCAAGTATAGTATACAAAGAAATATAATGATTATCTTAAAGATGTATGTATATAATTTATCCATTTTTTATCAGAGAGTCTATATTTGTCAGGGAGTCTATGGTTTTAGTTGCCCTTGTAAAAGTACCCCAATTCTTTCCTTCTGTTTTTTTTTTTTTTTTAATTTCCAAAAATTCTCCACCTTTCAGATCATCTACTCTTTAGCCTGATTGCCTTAGGAATCCTCTAGTTCTTCAAAATAATAGCCAAGAAGTTTTAAATATGGCCTTCTTCTCAGACACATGAAATATAGTTGTCATAATTACTCACTTCTGACAAGATGACATATTTTGCCATCATAATAGAACTGAGAATTCTTAGTTCTGTCAATATAAAAGGAGTGCTAAAATGTCCATTGTTTATACCAGGCCTGAAATGAATGAAACTGAACACATTAACAAGCTTATAATTGATTTTAGGATCAATGTCTTCCTTGATAATCTCTCTTTCTTCATGATACTACCTTGTAAAAATATACCCAGCCATGAGTAGAAAGCAAGTTTTGTCTGAATAGTCTGTCACTGAGGTCAGAAGCTATCACTATTGCTTTGTATATGTAGCAACTCAAGACTTACACACCATCCTTACTATAAATGCAACTCTTGCAAGCATTTTTATTCCCTTCTCCCTTTCAGTCTCCTGGTGTATAATTGATCCTTCCATAAACTCTACTAGATAAAGTATCTCACTCAATATGGCTTTTAAAACTAATGATAAGATATAAACCAACATGCTGAGAACTCAGTTAATACTGTCTTTTCCTCTGCCTTGTATAATGTTTAATACAATAACTATTTCAGTAGCACATGTCCAATCCCCACCCCACCCCACACACAGAGTGAAAGCAAGAATTAAGACTAAGTATTGTTCCTCTAGAATGAATCTTGCTCAGGATATGAGTTCAGTACCTGCTGACTTCAGAGAGGAAGTTTAGGTATTACTATTCCTGTTTTGCAAGTAAGGAGAAGAAGTTTGATGTCAGTTTGAACCAGTTTATTGGTACTAACACAGTGAATAGTTATTTTTGCAATAAAATTAATTTGCCAACTATTTATTAGAAAATTCATGAAACTACTTTCGTATATAAATACACATGCTTGTTCATCATAGCCTTGAGTGTGTGATAGAGAAGTCAATTTTGACTCTTTCCAGAATGCCCTTTTCTAAATGGATATGCAATATCATTATTGCTGTAATCAGAAATGCTGCTTTTTGTTTTTGTTTTTTTTTTTTCATCACAATGGTTTCAGTCTCCTTCCTCCAGATTCTTTGTGCTCTAGATATTGTACAGCATCCCTCTGGAGTAAGGGTGCAGTCATTGCACATTCTGTGGAGAAGATGTAAGCTGTGGACAAATGAAAGCTACTGCTGTGTTTTATCTGGCTTCATAGAGATAAGTACTCTAAGGTCAAAATATGTTTTTATGTTCCTGTACTCTTTATTAATTGCTTTAAATTATGATAAGAGGTCAAAACACAGGAGTCCTTCTAATTTATTTTCTAATTATAATGTGTGTCTGTGTACACATGTAATGTCTCAGAAGGCAAAATACAATGTAATATAGAGGGAATTTAGAGACAAGAAATGTGTAAGGGAAACATAGTGGTGTTTTTTTGATAGCGTGGTATTTGTTAAAGTATGGTTTGTGGCCATGTTGAAGGCAGTTTGTCAGTTTGAAGAGAAAAAAATCCAAAGTCCATGAGACAATTTGTTTACAGCGTTAAACAAATCTGAAATGTAAGGCTAATTTTTCTTTTCATAGAAATAGCATTACTCATACAGTTAATGATAGTTATGTCCTCTAAAGCTGGGGTTCCCAAACTCTGGGATCTAATGTCTGATGATCTGAGGTGGAACTGATGTCATCATAATAAAAATAAAGTGCATAATAAATATAATGCACTTGAATCATCCCCAAACCATCTCCCAACCCCCTGGCCCATGGAAAAATTGTTCTCCATGAAACCAGTCCCCAGTGCTAAAGTGATTGGGGACCGCTGCTAAGGTTATATATGTCTTTTCCAGGACCGCATTGGTTTGATATTTGCAAACAGGATACAGTTTGTCTCACCTAATATATTTTCATGCCATTTTCATGCTACTGTTAACATTATTAAATTTGTAATTTTTTTTATGCTTGTGTTGCATAATATCCCTAACACTCAAAATGGACCCATGACTGAAATGTGGTTCACTGAACCATAAAAAGTGATAGAAAGAGTTACATAAATACTACAATCCAAAATAACATCATAAACAAAGTGAAATGGTCTCCAGTGCTGAATGTGAAATGAAAATCTGTATATGCTGGGCTACATAAATGTGCAAGTAGCAGGATTTCACATAGGCAGCAGGAAAATAAAAGTGCAAATAGGAAATGCATTTATGAATATCTTTAAAAAACTGAATTACATTTGACTGGAGATTAATTTACCACTATTCCCCAGTTTATTTTCCATTGTAAAGCCTTGTCAAATAGGGGCATAAGTGTCTGGCAAGACCATTTCTTTAAGGATTAATTGATGTGTTTCCCCTGTTTCCTTGTGAAGTATCCAGCTTATAGCCTGAGAAATATTCCACTCTCCTCAACTGCATGAGTAGGTAAAATCACCCACTTCAGAAACATCCACTGAAAGTCTCGCATGATACAGATAGGGAAGGAAAGAAAGAAGAAAGGGAAGAAACAGGGACAGGAGATGAAAGAAAGGAAGGAGCAGGCACCAAAGGGAGAGAAAGGAAGCAGGAAAGGAAGGGTTTGTCTTGTCTGAGGAGTAGACAGAAACACCTTCAGTATTAGGCACCAGGAGACTGCATGGATCCTAGCTAACTGTGTCATGAATTTTTCCAACACTGCAGCCTTTTGATCTGAACACTCAGTTGCAATATAACTGTCCTGTAACCTGAAGAGTCTACCTTGATTTTGCCCACTCTCAAATGTCACCTTACCTGTGACTAACCACCATCCTAGACTGGCACTCTTTCTGTACATCCTTAGCAGAGGGAGACTTAGACACGAGTTGTCTAGTGGACTGGTGGTGGTGGTGATGGTCACTCATTGCAGGAATGGGAGGAGGAAGAACTGGGAATAATCAGTTGGAAATTGTCATTGATTCTTTTATCTTTGATCCAGTAAATTAAGGAAGATTTTTAAAAGTAATATGCAAAAAATAGCATGCTTTAATTTCCATGCAGTAGAAGTGAATAACTTTTTGCTAAAGGTACAGACAAACCAAAAGTTGGGGAAGCATTTAAGGTTTCACACTGGAATATTAATGACAAATATTACAAAGAGATAATAGAGGAAGTTATTGTCAGAAATCTTTTCTTGAATGTGATTTTAAGATGATGAAAAATATTAACTATGTATTAAAGGAAGAAAAATAATTACTATAAGGTAGGTGTCTATAGATATTTTGATAACCAGTTCATTTCTGTGCAAATTAATGAAAAAAATTCTTGAACCAAGGACTATACAGGTATGAGAGAATCAGAGCTGATGGCTTTTTATTATATTTATCAATGAGGAATTCATGGTACAGGAGAGGAAATTTTTTATTTCGTTACCATTTATTTTGTGACTTTGGTTTTTGTGTCTGTGGTCTTGTAAGGAGAGTTTGGAGGAGGGTAGGGGATTACTTTGTGGATCAGTTTAGGTGTTCTTTAATAGTAATCTATATACCACTGCATTCATAGCAAGTATTTTGTGAACATCAATATGATTCCTGGCTTTGATTTCATATATCAAGAAACAGTAAAAATGTTAATTCACTCTCAGTGTGGCCACCACATTTTTTGCTGAATGA